CCCCCCCCCCCCATTACTCCATCATTCACTCATACCCTAGAACAAAGCTTTGAGTGGCAAGTGTTACAGGGGAGTCTTCTAAAAAATAATAACCCATTGACACTGACATTTAAAGATGTCCTGAAGATTTTGGCTGATGAACTTCGCACCCGTGTTTTCACAAAACCCAATATGACTGGTCATATCCCATTAATAACATTTGAAAAAGCTCCATGATGCAATAGTTCCAAATTATTACATGGCAGTTTATTTCTTTAACTTAAAGCAAAAATGATGTGAACCTGACTTCCAAAAAACAGCTGCTATTTTACAGATTATAGTTTGTCAAGCATAGAAAAATCACTTCTCAATGCACTTCTGTTGAAATGTCAGGGGAGGTTATTTTACAGTGTCTGATTGTGTGCTTTTTTTTTTCTTCCCAGCGGACCCAAGAGTGAGCGAGCCAATTTCAAGTAAGCCTTTTATGCATAGAATGCTCTAATCAGACCATTTTTCTGCAGTGAGATAACTCATGCTATATGACAGGGCTGGCTGTACTTTCCCAGCTAAACATGCCGTCACACATGATTTCATTTCTTCCACCTATACCGCTTGTAAGAGATTCCTGCCAGTCCAAATGTTTACCTGAGCTCAACACAATCAACATGAGGTGGTGTAGCAGTGGCAGCTAGGATGGCTGCGAACCAATGTCCACAAATGAGCCAAGGACAGCTCATATTTTCTCAGCCTTGTCATTAACTCAGAAGGTGGCTCTGTGAAACCAATAAGCTGTTTCTTGCTTAATAATAAGTGACTTAACAGAATGCAAGTCAAAGTCTGCCACTGTACTACTGAAAAGCTTGCCACCAAAAACAGGATGCTTCATACAGGGCTTCATGAACTCAGTAGTCAAAAACCTGTTGAATTCAGAGGGATTTGGCTCAGGCTCTTAAAAAAAACAAGATACCCATTTCAGGCAGAGGGGCTGCTTTGTGCGTTTAGTATTGAAAGCACTTGAAAAGTACACAAATAGGCTTCTTTTCCTCATACTCATCCAGCTCATCCTGTATATTTTGCTGTCTGCTAGCCCTGCCTTAACCTTAACCATCTGGGAAAGAAGGAAATGTTGCACCTTTTATAACTGAGAATTTTGCCAAGCATATCAAGGCTTGACTCCCTGACAACACAAGGTACCCCACATAAAGGGGGCCCAGTTCTGACCTCAGTTGCACCGGTCTAATGGTGTATGCCAATGGACACCCTTCAGACATATACCAGTATAGCCTAGGATCAGAACCAGTCCCTAAAAGCAGGTCACCACAGCTCTGTGTTTGGTAGTGCTACGGTGAAGTTGAAGCTGTGTTGGTTTAGGAGTTGTGAGGGGCAAGGATTTTGTAGAGCAATATCTTTTCTTGGACTGACTGCATAGTAGAGTGAGACACTACCTTTCATTCAAAAGCTTGTCTAACTCTATCCCAGCTCTGCAGTTGGTCGAATAAAAGCTATCACCCACAGAAATCCTTGCCTATGTTTGCACATTTTGCTGCTACTAGTTCCCTAAAACAAAAACAGCAACCTCTTTCAAATGTGGCTAGAATGACCCACCTAGGCCAGAGGTGGGTGGGTGGGTAGGAGCTGGGACCTGGCCACCCCCACTGCTTGCCTCCCCAGCAGCATAGAGGGAGCACCTGCAGCTAACATTTTTCCCCACAACAGCATGGGGAGAGTGCCCACAGCTGAAGCCCCCTCACTGCTAAATTCTTCTAAAGGCCCTTATCCATGGGTGAGATCCAATGATCCCACAGCCCATATATGGCCCACATATTGTAGATTGCTGATCTGTGCACTAAAACTTCCTTCCAAATGCAGGTGACTATTCTATGTAGTGCATTTTGAATGGCACCTCATGGCATGAAGGGTTTCCTCTCCTCTGTATATGTCTGAGTGTGTTTATCATCCTTTGTTATGTATGACACTATTCTAATTAGCCTCTTTCTTCCCCTTCTGCAGTGGGAAAAGATGCCATCTGGACTCCAGTCCCATTTGAATCTGACTCCTATTCAGAGTGCAGAGGGAAACAATATGTCAAGAGGACCTGGTACAAGAAGTTTGTGGGAGTGCAGCTGTGTAACTCCCTGAGATATAAGATATACCTCAGTGATTCTCTTACAGGTAAGGGAAGCCAAAGGCAATATGAATATATCCATATGGATGCAGGCCAAATTACACAACACACAGACATCTAGGACCTTCATTTCCATGGCTCTGAACTAAAAGGTTTCAACAGATGGACTCTGTTGGCTGTGATTGGACATGCACATTCTCCTCACCTTGGAAAAGTGGAATTTCCAAACTTCCCAGATTACTGTTTAAGATTAGTTCTTTGTTTGACAGCACCCAGAAGCATGCAGTGCAGTTCCTAGAGCATTTGTAGAGGCAAAGGCACAGCCCCGGAGAGCCACAGTCTAATGGTATCAGTCCTGCATTAAAAATATCTGTGTTTGCACAGTTCTTACTGAACATTTGGGGCCTAGAACTGGACATACTGCAAGAAGAAATGGTGGAAGACTAGGAGGTAGAGCAGCTGATGTTACAATAATCCCCCACAGGAACTCAGGCTGGGATGTAAACAAACCTTTTCATGGGTCTGTTGCGAATAATGAAGTTTTACAGGGTACCTGCTAACAGGAACATCTGACTTTAAATCTAATTAACATCTTTTCCTTGCCTGCTTTCATTTTACGATACCCACCAGGCTCCTGGCCATTGCTCCTTCACTGGCTCATTACATTCAGGTTACCATACAAAAGCTTTTAAAGGTCTGGCTGCTGTTCTGTTTCTTTATTATGGTTAGTGGGCTGCTCTAGTGCTAATGGTTTGCTTGGCCCAGAAGCACACAGATGTGTACACATATCAAGAGATCTGTGAAGCTTTTGCATCATGATTCCATTTACTGATTGATAAATTGATCACAATTTGGGGGAAGCTTTCTGACTATTATGATTCTGATAGGCCTGAGCTCCACTTGTGCAACTAGCAGAGAGTGCCATTGCAGAAAGCAGCTGGGTTTTGCCAGCTTTGCCTGGCTAAAAGCCAGTCCACATAGATTCATAGATGTAGGGTCAGAAGGGACCTTGTAGATCTTCTAGTCCCACCCCCTACCCTGGGCAGGAGAGAAAACTGGGCTCAAATGACCCCAGCCAGGTAAATGTCGAGCCACCTCTTAAAGACCCTCAGGGTAGGAGCCATCACCACTTCGCTTGGAAGTAGGTTCCAGATCCTAGCCGCCCTGACTGTGAAGTAGCACTTCCTGATGTCTAGTCTGAACCTACTCTCTAGCAACTTATGGCCGTTATTCCTTGTTACTCCAGGAGGTGCTCGGGGGAACAAGGTCTCTCCCAAACCCCACTGGTCCCTCCTAGTAAGTTTATAGACAGCCACCCGGTCCCCCCTCAGTCTTGTCTTGTGAAGGCTGAGCAGGTTAAAGGTTCTGTAGCCTCTCCTCGTAGGGTCTGCCCTGCTGCCCTATGGTCATGCGAGTGGCCCTCCTCTGGACCCTCTCAACGCTGTCCACATCCCTCCTGAAGTGCAGCACCCAGAACTGGACGCAGTACTCCAACTGCGGCCTGACCAGTGTTGCATAGAGGGGGAGGATCACCTCCTTGGCCCTGCTTGTGATGCATCTGTGGATGCAGGACAAGGTACGGTTAGCCCTACTGACTGTGTTCTCATATTGTCGGCCCATGTTCATTTTGGAGTCAATAATGACTCCAAGATCTCTTTCTGCCACCGTGCTTTCAAGAGGGGAGTTCCCTGGCCTATAGGTATGCTGCTGGTTCCTACTGCCCAAGTGCAGCACCCTGCACTTGTCAGTATTGAGTCTGATCCTATTTTCATTTGCCCACCCCTGTAATCTGTCCAGGTCCTGCTATAATCTGTCCCTCCCTTCTAGTGTGCCTACCTCACCCCAAATCTTGGTGTCATCTGCAAATTTAAACAGGATGCTCTTCACCCCATCATCCAAGTCACTAATAAAGAAATTGAACAGTGCAGGCCCAAGGACCAAGCCCTGGGGGACTCCACTGCCCACTTCCCTCCAGGTCAAAAATGACCCATCCACCACCACTCTCTAAGTACAGCCCCTCAGCCAATTTGCTATACATCTATGTAGGCATCAATGCCACAGTCACCTAGCTTTTTAATGAGAATGGGGTGAGAGACGGTGTTGAAGGCCTTCCTAAAGTCCAGAAAGACTACGTCCACCGTGACACCTGCATCCAAGGATTTTGTGACCTGATCGTAGAAGGCAATCAGGTTGGTCTGACATGACCTGCCCCTAATGAAACCGTGCTGGTTGCCCTTGAGCATCATCCCTGTTGCTGGCCCATCACAGATGTGCTCCTTAATAATCTTCTCAAAGAGCTTCCCCGGGATTGAAGTAAGACTAATGGGCCTATAGTTTCCTGGGTCCTCCCTCTTCCCTTTTTTAAAGATGGGGACCACATTGGCCCTCTTCCAGTCATCCGGCACCTGGCCAGAGCACCACAAGTGCTTGTAAAGCCGTTCCAGTGGCCCTGTGATAACCCCTGCCAATTTCCTCAGCACCCTGGGGTGGAGAGCATCTGGACCTGCAGATTTGAACATGCCCAGGCCCTCCAGAAGGTCTCTAACCCGGTCCTCCCTGACCCTAGGCTTGGCGGAGTTTCTCCCACGTTCATCCTGAATCTTGGTAGGGGAGTCCTGGTCCCTGCACAAGAAAATAGAAGTGAAGAAATTGTTAAAGAGGTCTGCTTTCTCCTCTGGTGTGACTACCAGGTTGCCAAGCATATCGTTCAGGGGTCCCACATTACCTGGGGCCTTCTTCATTCTCCCTATGTATTTAAAAAAGGACTTTTTGTTGTCCTTGATCCTTGATGCTAGCCTTAGTTCCGTATCTGCCTTAACTTTCCTAACAGCCCCCCTACAGACCCGAGAGGACTCCTCTTTGGTGATAGCCCCTCCCTTCCACTGGGTGTATGCCTCCTTTTTGGCAATCAGGCATTAATTGAAGTTGGCCCTCTTTAAAGTCTAAGGCTACTGCCTTGCTGCAGGCCCTTGACACCCTGCGCTGGTGAATTCCAGTAGGCAATGATCGCTGTCGCCCATGTGGTCGAGAACCTGGAGTCCCCTCACCAGGTCATCACTTGTGGTCAAGACCAGGTCCAGCAGGGCATTCCCCCTTGTAGGACTGTGCACCTCTTGGGTTAAGTGGAGGTCCTGTATCTCGGCCAGGAACCTCCGTGAGCAGTCAGACCTAGCTGACTGCTCCTCCCAGCAGATGTCCGGGTAATTTAGATCACCCATGACGACTATATCCCTTGCCTTAAGTGTAGCGCCCAAATTCTAGAGTGACACAGAGCAGTGTAATGCACAGCAAACCTCCCCTGCAAAAGTCAGGCTGATGTGTTTGTTATACAGGATTGGCTCAAACAGGGGAAAAATGACATCTGAAAAGAAGTAACTTTTAGGGCCTTATCCAGTCAGCTGCTAAGCACCCCTAATTGAGAAGTTTCTGTGTCTTGAGGAATCAGTAGCGCAGTGCATGGCATCTCATGGAACTGGGCCTACTGCTGAGCATTCATGGACCAGGGAAAGGGAAGAAAAGCAAGGAATGCACAGATTGTATCAAATTCCTATCCAGCTAAACTGCCCAGCCTCCCCCATCACACACACATGCAAGAAAAACCCTGTGGTTATTTTAAAGTGCATACCTCATCCATAAATAGTATCTGGGCAATTACGTGGCCCAGAAAGACTATTTTATAACAGGGGTATCATTCATTCAACTCTGCCCATACAACAAAATAATCAATGAGATGCAACATCTTGTAAAACTAGTCAGCAGAAGAAACAGCAGCATTAGGCTACCAGAACTATAGCACAGTCCTAAACCAAATGAATTGACACTCTACTGACAGCCCTTTTAGTCTCCAAATAAGCATCTGATGTATCAGTGGCCCATTTTCCTATTTTAATTATATTGTTTTCATTCTTCCTGGGAGAAGGGTCATTTTACTTGACTGGGAACTAATCAAGGTAGCCACATCTTTTTCATTACACTGACAAAATGTGGCTGTCTCCCCTGTGTTGCTTTAACCGACATGGACCAGTTGTCACAATATTTGAATGAACTGGAATGTTTGTCCAATAAATATAAAATAAATGTTTGACCCCCACCCTTTCCCAACTGACGTAATTACCAGCTTCCATATTACCATGGAAAACTTTCCAGTTCTAGGGCGAAGCTCAGCCTTTTCAGGTAGGTCAGTGCAGTGCCTCAGTTCAGTGGAGCTCTGCCTGCTTACGCAAGAGCTAAATTCAACCTGCAGCATCCATCAGGATTTTTCTGGCACTTAAGATCTGCTCATGTAGAGCCATTTGAAAGGGAAGCTCATGGATGAGTCTACAGGCATCTATTTGGTACCTAATGGAGGGGAGAAGAGTAGGGGTGTGCGAAATGGGCTGTATTCTATTCAGATTTCGGAATTGGCTTGAATCAGGGGCAGTGATGTGATTTGTTGATTCAGATCACTGTCCCCAATTCAATTCAGCTGACTCCGAATCTGAAGATCTGATGCTAATTCAGAGAATCAGTGATTCAGCCATAGACGCCACGTTAAATGTTTTTTTCTACATACCTTGAGGTACCAGCTTGTGAATGCTGCAATGCTGGACTGGATGGAGCATCCTATAGGAGCACAGGGGAGCCCCCCGCATGCTCGGTGGCAAACCCAGAAGTAGACCAGAAGTATTTCTGGTCCACTTCCAGGTTCGCCAGGGAGTGCAGAGGGCTCCCCCCCCACGCTCTCCCCCAGCTCAGCGATCAGCTGCAGGGGGACCCTGGGTGCCCCCCTAGACCCAGGAGGCACCGGTTGCTGAGCCGGGGGGGGCACAGGGGCACCCCCCCATGCTCTCCCTGGTGGACCCGGAAGTGGACCAGAAGTGCTTCTAGTCCACTTCTGGGTCTGTTGCCGAGCGTGCTGAGGAGACCCCTGCACTCCTGTGGCACGTTCCATCTGCCCCAGCATTGCAGCATTCATGAGCTGTCTACTACCTCAAGGTATGTTTAAAAAAAAAAACATTTAAAGCTATGTCTATGGCCAAATCTCTGAATCTTTCTAAATCTCTCTGAATTGATTTGGAGGGTTCTGATTCAATTCGGGGAGATTAAACGGTCTCCTGATTCGATTTGGATTCAGAGATTCAGCTACCGAATCAGGCTGAATCTCCACTGAATCAAATCAGGGACTGAAGTTTCGCACAGCCCTAGAAGAGAGCTCTTCTCATGATACCATGCCATATCAATAAAGGAGCCACCCCTACTGTCCTCATATAAGTGTCCTATCTTTGTAAGCATGCCAGCCAGTCATCTAAAAACAGTTACATCTAAACTGTGACCTTCAGCAACTGTGGAAATACCTTGCAGCTTTGGGCAGACTGAAGGTTCTGAATTTGAGATCAAAACTTTTACCCAGGGAAGACTCCCTCAATCAGCACTGGAAACCAGCTCTCCCATGGACCAAAAATAATAAAGCAGACAGTAATAAGTGCCTACCTAATGCAACAGCACATGCATAAAGTCTGGTCACCTAGAGGTGAATACTATGGGCATCGATTGGTGCCCCTCACACCTGACCCACAGCCCCCTAGCCCTGCCAGTGCCTCTATCTCACAACCTGCAGCCCCCCCACTCCCTCCAGCTGCACCAGAGCCAGGGCCTGCAGCCCCTTGTCCCCCCCATGGGAAGTGGCAGCTGCTGAGGTCAGAGTGGAGTGTAGAGCCCGGCTCCCCTCCCACTCCATCCCTTCCCCTGTGGGTGGCATGGCCAGAGCAGAGCCCATGGGGTTGTGGGGAGAATGCAGGCTGCCTGCTGCAAGTTTGTGGCTCCCTGGCCTGCTGCCCTGCCCCTGGGGAGCTCAATGCCCAGCAGGCAGGACCTGGCACAGGAGGGAGTACCATATCACCATGCTGAGGCACCCCTTGCCGACCCATCAACACTGGGGACGTAACTCTGTGCTGCCCACCACCACCACCACCACACTTTACCTTGGCAGCCATGATGGTGCGACTCTCCCTCCTGTGTTGGGTCCTGCCCATGGGGCTGCAGAGACAGCTCCTTGCCTTGAGCTGGTCCAGCTCTATTGCAAACCCCATGCCTCACTGTGGGCGCAGAAATCTCACAACCCCAATTGCTGATGTTGTGATGCCGTTTGAGGTCATGACCCACTGTTTGGGAACCGCTGCTTTAAAGGATCTCACAGCACCTCAGCACTAGAGGAGAGCCGCCTCAGCTCCCTTCTGAATGCTCATGCACCACCCACTCCCCTGACCTGCGAAGACTTTAGGTCTCAGCTTGCCTTAGAGCTTCAAGGTCCAGCAACAGGAGCTAGCCCTTAACATCATTGGGTGTTTATAGCATCATGCTGCACAATTTTTGCTCATTTTGGGAACAGGTAAGAATATGCTTGTGCAGCAGTAGCAAACGTAATCTGGAAATGTTTTCTCACTACATTCATAGGGCATGTGTAGACAAAATGGGGGCCCTAAATTGAAGCAGTGGATTTTTAACACCACTTCAATTTAGGGCCTTTTAAACCGCTGTGCCGTGCACACACCTGACTTACCTGCCTCTCCAGCAGCGGGGAGGGGAAGGCGAGCTGCCAGCGGGTGGAGCAGTCCCTGGGCTGCAGGAGTGGGTGGGGAGCAGTGTTCCCCTCCGCAGCAGTGGCAGCCCCCCACCAGGCAGCACCCGCCCACAGACACCCAGCGTGGGTGGTTTGGGGGGGCACCGCAGAGGGAAGCACCGGGCCCCCACACAGCTCACATAGGCAGGCTCCAGGGGGGGGAAAAAGAAAGATCAGGCTCACCAATTTTTTTTCCCTCTCTTGCGCAAAGCCTGCCTTCCCAGGCTGCTGCCAGGCTGCGTGCATGGGCTTCCTGCAGAGCCCCTGAGCTGCACGGAGCCTGGTGCTTCACTCCGCGGCTGTAGGGGCCGCAAATTAAAACTCTTCGGAGGTGTTTTAGTTTGCTGCGCCCCAAGTCATTTACAGTGCATTATGCGGCCGAATTTCCTACAGTGGCTGGAATTAATGCGCAATATGCCTCTGACGTGTGCAAACACTGACACCATTAAAGCGATGCAAAAGCATTTAGCCCACTTTAAAGTGTTGTGCACACATCTACACACAGCCATAGATTCATAGATTGTAAGGGGCTGGAAGGGACCTTGGAAGATCATCGGGTCCAGCCCCCTGCACCAGGCAGGAAAAATGACAGGTGGGGACAGGTGACCTCAGCAAGGTGACTGTCCTGTCTCCTAAGTGTTGGGGCCACTGGTTTTCCTTATACTTCTTAATTGAATGCTAGGAATGTTTTACCTATCAATAAAAACACGTGTTCAGGTATAGAATATTAACATATGGTATTCCTGTCCCAACTCACTTCTAGTGTAGCGTGGCATTAGTAGGGCAGTTGTACCTCAAACTGTACAAAATCTCAGATCCCTGTCACAGTTCACTTTGTAAGTACACATTCTGGGAATGGAGAATTATACTGTATTCCTATTTCAGCCAGTCTCAACCCTTCTGTTCCTCCAAATGATGCAAGTTTAAGTTGTTCTTTAGATGACTGACTACGTAATCTGTGGACAGGTACACATTAGATTTTTAGTCATCTATAGGACACTTATGTACAGTGTAAGACATAAATAGGGAAAAAGGCATTTTAAGAATCTAGCTTGCTGTGTACCAAGGATGGCCTATGAACATCTCTAAAGCCATTTTGAGTTGCTTAGTGGAAGATGGGTTTGGGCCTAAGTTAGTAGCAAAACTCCCCTCATTGCAGGAATGGCTTGAATGGAAATGTGCACAAATACTATGTAAAGCGCAATGAAGAGAAGGAGAAACAAAAACAAGAATGGAAATTTTAGCTTTTACCCAAGAAAGGTGTTCCCTTCTCAGTAATTAGCACTGAACATGGAGCATTTATACCTTTACGTATAGAGTTACATCTTAACTGGACAGCTTCCAAGTTAAAACTGAGACATAAAGGATGCTAGCATTCCACTTGGAACCTGCCCTGCAAAGGCACCAATGACAAAACCAAAGCTTCAAATGGTTCCAAAAATTCCATGCAACTCACCCAATTTGAATTTTCCAGAGGTTTTTCAGAATGCTCTTTCCTTGATGTTTTCAGGAAAATTTTACAACATAGGTGACCAGAGAGGACATGGAGAAGATCATTGCCAATTTGTGGACTCATTTCTAGATGGAAGGACAGGACAGCAAGTTCTGCCAGAACAGCTACCAGTCAGACATGGTAAGTTCTGAGGAACATAGCTGTAGCAAATTCAAAACCGCGCACCCCCCACTCCAGCTAACACGAGGCCTGGTTGTCTCCAGTTGATGGTGTGAGAGCCAACACACAGCCTGAATGAGACAAGGTAAAGAATCCTAACTTGCTTGATTCAAACTATCTTTTGCAATGGGCAAAGTGTTGTTCCAGCCTATCCAGCTTATTTGGATGTAAGATGGTTTAGTAGCAGGAAAGCCTTGGAGTAATTGCCACTTGACAAATGCTCAGTTCAAGGGAGAGAAACCATGTCTGATCAAAGGGCTGGGGGCCAGGCACCCCCATGGTGTAGTCCTAACACCGAATTCTGTCCTAAACCTCACTTGCATAGCAGGGCTGGACACGGCAATGTAGTGCAAATTATTACAGGAGACTTACTTTGAAAAATGAGCGGTATGCTATTGAGGGAGATTGCAACAGGAGAATAAACACACACTCACATTTAAGGCTTTCCAGCTTTTTCAGGGTGAGTTGTATACATTCAAAATCTATAAAGACACCATAGCATTAAGTTTACAAGCTGGCGTGAAGAATTATGTTCACACTGATATGGTTGTTTTTCAAGTACTATAAATCAGTGGAGTTATCAATGACATGCCTTTCTTTTGGGGAAATGAAAAGCAAACTAGAAAGGAAAAGTTATTGGTGGAAGAAAACAATTCATATCTGCTGCAACTTAAACTGGATACCCTGAATCTTGAAGCAACCAAGTCTAAAGAAACAAGCATGGAATTAGGTTCTCAAGTTGCATTTTGATCTCATCTCTGAAGTCAAGATGCAGCCGAGCTACATAACTTCTCTCCACTGACTTATCTGTAAAATGTTGGTTATCTATATTTACCAGTACCTGCTTCACAACATGTTGAGGGTAAGGTCTTGTCACTACAAGAGTTGTACCATTTTAATTACACTACTATAATAATTACAACTGTACCATACCACATCTATATATATATATATATATATATATATATATAGATGCATATGAATTCCAGCTCTAATGTGTCACTCGTATGTATGTATGTACACACACACACACACACACACACACACACAC